TTTGCATGGCTCCGCTTCAAAATGCGATGTAAAACAATGTATAGTACTGTAACCCCCCAAGCCATTTTAGGGTAGGATAAAACAAAAAGTGAAATGTATAATTCATTTTGGTCGGATTTTACTGTTCACCTTTTTTTGTCGGGTTGCGATAAAACAAACAAACCATGACAAAGCCTTGCGTAATGCCAATCCAACTTCTGATTACAGCTGGCTATAAATCCCACTATAACATTATATACATATATAACTTCTATGTGTATATCTGAATCTATATATATGTATATTCACATATATTTGTTCACATTCACATCCCATTCAATCCCCATTCTGAATGGTTAAATCAGCTATCATATGGTTAACTCTTCCAGCTTCAAACGGCCCCCCATAGAAGGTAGGGATTTGCTTTGGTAGATTCCCCAGTGGATTAACCAATGGGAAAATAAGAAATCATCGACTGAGAAAACATCCAGGACAAACAATGATGGTGATAATATCCTAATGTTGATATATATATATATATATATATTGGGATATATGGAGATATACTCTCCCGAAAACTAACGTTGGGCAAAAAAAAAGGGTTCCATGTTAGCGCAGCCATGTTAAAATTCGCAGGATAAGCGCCAGGTAGCTGCATCCATGTTAGGAGACCGTACCATAGGTCCATGTTAGGAGACCGTACCTGGAATAGCATGCAGTTCTTTGTATCATTTTTGGGGAGTGTAAACCATTCTTGTTACATTCTAACCAGTCCAACAATACATTCAATACATCAAGATACCCTCCGGTAAACGTTTAACGAACTGGAAAATCACCATGCTATATAGCTGGGAAAATCCACTATTTCTATGGGTCATTTTCAATAGCTTTTTCTATGTTTACCAGGCCGGGTATATCCCATGAATATCCCATTGAATCACTATAAAATCCCATGAAAAATCACACTAAATGACCATTTTCCAATGGGTAAATCCACCAATTTTATTGCTAATTCTTGGATTTGCAGGGTCCCATTGGTGGTTATCGATTCACCAATGGAAAGTTCTCCAAGGATCGACAGGCATCGTAGAGATCCAGCAGGCGTTGCACTGACATCGCACGAACAGGTCCTCGGATTTTTGCCGTCTGAAATCCCACAGAAAAATGGCAGGTTTAAACGGTTGAACCTGCAGCGAAAGAGTGAACATCCCTGGATTTGATGATTTTTCAAAACCCAACATGGGAATTGAAAAATCACCAGCTAAAATAAATTGTCATAACATTTGTGGAACAGTTCACCAACAAACATGTGGTTTTAACGTGGTTTCAAGGGCTCTAGATAGCGAAATTTCACCTGCCATGAGGCCAGTAACACCGTTTCGAAGATGGGGCAGTGATGGGCAGGTATGGGGCAATGTCTAGCGGGTATGTATACCACAGGGTGGTGCCCCAGTTCGTTAGCGAAGTTGGTTTATAAGTCCAATAACTATGGTTTATAGGTGAGATATCCTTGGGTCTTCAATCATTACATTATTTTTTGCTACCCTGTACTTTTGGGGCATTCGAGCATATATCCAGGATCGTTGTAAAAATCAGAAATAGCGAACATTTTCAATATCTGACAGCGATCTGGAGCAAAAAACATGGCCGCAATTTCGGGCACAAATACGCGCAATCGAGCGCAAATAAGCGCAATCGGGCCAATAGAGCTTAAGGAGCATTTTTTCAAAATATCGAGCACGTCAATGTCCAATCGTTATGGTAATTTTGGGAACATGCAAATCTCCAAACGAGCAAAAAAAATGTAGCAATTGAAGATCCAGGTCTATTGATAATGGGATTATAACATATTACAACCCATTTATAACTGGGGGGCACCACCTTGCAGGGGTACGGGTTTTGACTCACGTCCATAATTATTGAAAGCTGACCAATGATCGATGGTGATCATGGTGCTGACAATTACCGTGCGACGAATTGAAAATTGCATCTGCTCAATATCTTGATGCTGATGGTAACAGAAAACTATGCTCGTGGTGATTACAATTGGTGGGCTGCTATGCATAGCACGGCGGCTTTCTCCGTCCCAGAAGTTACAGGTTGCATACTCTTTTTGGGGGTTGATACTGCATACTTATGAAATTTCAGGTTTCACATGTCTTTGCAACGCATTTCATTTGGAGTTATCTCCGATTCCTCCATTTGGAAAGTTGATTGTGACCTAACAAACTATATACTCAGCAATCATAGTTCTGATTGTGTTGAATTGTTGGCTGCATTGGACCATTCTTATTCCCCCGTATTTGGCTGGGGCTCAAATCCATCCCCAACATGTCTACTTAGATTGCGCACCAAACGTGACCAATTGTGTCTGACCATTGGTACCCCAATTGCTGGATAGCTACACAGTTTGAAGCATAAAACATTTGTCTGCAATAATCCTTGACGCTTCAGCCCATTTAGTAAGTAGGTTGTAATACGAGAGCGCCCGCATCACACTTACCCATAAAACCTCAACGGTATACAACCCATTTGGGTTTCTCTGAAAATGGGATACCCAGAAGAAGGCCACCAAGACATGTGAAAAAACATCGGGAAACATCATGTTTTAAGTGTTTTTTTTTAGGTTTCCTAATTTTAGGGTGTACCCATAATAAATCATCAATGTTCACAGGATTTACATGGATTTACCATTACAAACCATCCCATTTATGGAACATCCTGGCTTTTTTAATCTATCTTCGGTCCCAGCTAAGTTGCTATTCTGTAGGAGGTGCATCAATTGCCGCTGCTCCAAAATCTCTGTGACCGATGGGTGCGGGGCACCCATACCTGCCGTGGATAGTCGCATCGTTATGAAGGCTGGGGAAAGACGTGGAACTTCGGGTGTTCTTACTCTTTTTGGCGAGAAAAAAGAGCATTACATACATAGTACAAACTATTTTAATATTTTTTGATCATATAGTATGGGAATGATGCGTCGATAAAGTAACAAACATGGGGGGTATGACTCCTATGACCAATACTATCTTAGTTTTGGGATTCTTCTGAGACCCTTTTTATCGGCTCTGTGCGTGCCACCTGGGATACCTGAAAGATCAAAGGTGCAAGAAATATCCATACGGAGGTTTCCATCATACCTCAATAGCTGGATGGTTTTTAATGGAAAATCCTATAAACATTTGAGGATCCATGCAGAGCTTCTGGATGACAGCAGCACTGTGAAATGATGAATGTAAGACAGATCTGAGTTGGGTGGATGATTTAGGGGTACCACCATTTTAGGACACCCCCCATATAAAACCATCCATCATCCATTTTTTTGGATACCAACAACATTGCTATTTCAATGATCATCATGCTGATGCACCATGAGATTTTGGGTCAAATCCAGCCCATGCAGATGTCTTCAACATCTCGAACCAACCAAATTGACCCGGGCCTTTCCGTTCTTGACAAACAAACAGCAAACAATATCAAACAGCCATACATTGGATTGTTTTAAAATGTGTTAAGACTCAAACAGCCAAACATTGAGGTCTTTCAAAACTCAATCTTCAATTTGTTCATCCCATTTTTCATCTAAAGATGTTTTTTCATCCAGAATCCTCAAGTGAATCCGAGCCGCGGCTCATCCCCAGGAACACTATGGGCAGCTTCCAGGCGGTCACATTCTCCTGGGAAAACTGGGAAGGACCCGACCACCATTTTTTGGGGAATTCCCAAGTTATGACATTTTAATACATTTTGTAACTGGCAACATAGCACGTGTATGCATTTGTCCTTTTTTTTTGAGGTGCTCAAGTCCTCAATTCATGGGTTTTTCAAGGGAGGATATATGGGAACAGCCAACAAGAATACGTATAAGAACCGATGACATATGGGAAGGTGTGGAAAAGAAAGAGCTGCCCCTGACACGTGCGAGTCAATCCTGATTCAAATAGATCATCTTTTAAGGAACCGAGCAACTCCAAGCTCAAGTGCCCTCAAACTTTACACCACCGAACTCCAAAACCGCCAGATTGAACAAGTCTGCGGCTGATCAATCGTTCCCCAAGGACTTGCAATCTTCCAGAAAATGAAGATTGGCGTTAGCCAGAGCTCCAAATGTTGGTTCACCAGTCGAATTGAACAATCCAACCTGTTGCTCGATTTCTGTCTTCGCAATAACACGAGTGAACGATTTGTCATAGCTGCTCATGTCGGCTCCGATTACTTCAAATTGACACATAACACTGAGCAGAATATTTGAAACACCGGTCCAAACAAGTAAAGGACTGACTGAAGGCTTCACATAATCCTTCACAGGTCCAGAAGTCCTCGAAAGAAACTCATTGGCTGCAACTGAATCATCAGTTTGCAGGTGATCTCAAAGACTTCGGGCTGCCATATTTGCCACCAATCCACCATATAAGAATAAACGGCAGTGTGTCAAAACCTTGTACCCCTGGTGAACATAAAAATAGCTGGTAAATGGATGTTCATCCCCCTAAACATGCTATTAATAGGTATTGATCCATACCCAAATTAATTCGTCATGGAAGATGGATGGGTGTACTGCTGGATAGGGGATATAGCCCGCAAACCTGTGAAAGCAAGCCGATAAAATTGGGGATTAGAAGAATGGCAAAATCACCCAACATGAATTGGGGGCACACACACACACACTAGAAACGATATCATAGTTAACACGTAGAGATTGCAGCAATGAACATTGTTGAGGTGATATCCAGCGCAAACCTGAGGGTTGAAATTACAGGCAGTCCAAATGAGGATATGATAAACACACATCAGCAACAAATATTGGGCAAGTAAACCAGTGAAATGCAACTACTCTACCTATAATAAGAGCATGTCCAGCGTACCCTAACCACGACGGCCTTCCCGCTCTAGAATAGTCCCTTTTTTAAAGCTGGTCATTTGGTGTGATGATGGCAGGTTTGTCTCAGAATTCCAGGACACCCACGTGTAATGGCAAATGACCATAAACCATTGGATTTTCGGGTTGAACATTTTGCAATTTGGAGACTTGAACATCAACGAATTTGATTGTCATTCTCTGTACAATGGAATCAGGGATAATCAGGCCGTATCTGATCGGAATCTCATGCAAAACGGTACTAGAAAACCAGTGGTCGTTTCAGCACTCCGGACTCCAAGGCAAGGAGCCTTTCAAATTGCCAGCAATGCAAAGATGTCAACCAATTTCTGATCAATCTGATGGGTTATGTCCATCAACATGAAAGGATAAATAATGATGATGTAATCGGATTGAGAACCAAGATTATATGGCTGATCCCTGTCTTTTCATCAATCACCTGCAATCTTCAGCCGATACCCTGGAGGCCCTTCACTGGATCGGTTTATGATTTTTGGAGCCCATCGAAAGAATTTCATATGATCAGGGGATGCTCCTAAAATTGGATGGTCATTTAGGTACTACCAAAAACATCCAAAAACCACCATGTTTTCTGTGGCCCATGGTCTCCCCCCATCTTTGGCCCTCATTGATGTCTCCCCCCCCAGTGTCCGGGTGAACGTAGAAGGCGCTCACCACATGAGCTGTGGAGGCTTTAGGCAGCACAGCAGCGTTAACCAGCTTGCTATGGGGATGGCTGGAAGCATAGCGCTCCCTGTGGCTGGCAAATCAATCATGGCAATGGTCGATTCCCTTGAAGAATGGGAGCATCAGTTATAGATCCTCACTTTTACGTGCATTTTTTCCGCAGGGTACATCTCATGGCAAAATCTCTTACGTAGTACATAAACATAAACCTGAAAAATCATTTTTAGGCCGGTAGTCCTACCAACCATCATGTACCAACCTTGGTAATACCAAGTTCCTATGAAAAAAACCTCCCCTCCAGAAGGTCTAAATCCATGAGAAGGTATCCATCCCCCAAAAAATAGGCAGCAAGAAAACAAAAATGGGATTCATGAGATTTAGTATGAGAACTGCTGCGAATCCATTGGTTTTCCATTGGTTTTCCATTCGTTTTTGAATCCAACAAAAAGGATTTTCCAGAAGGGTTTAAGAGGGGTGACCACCCATGTTGATTAATAGGGAGGGACCAAAGTAGTATGGCCCAAAAACATGGAATGTGCGTGTTGATTAATTCGGGCTGCTTATTTTCATATGACCTGGTCACATTGGGCCATTCACCATGTGATGGTGTGCCGGGGCCGGGGCCTTAAGTCGCGCACGAAGAAGGGCATAGGTTCCACACTGAGACCATGTTGCTCCGCCGGTTGCGCGCCAACCAATGTGCGGAAGTTGCTGGTGCCGATCCTCAATGGTCATGGGTAGCTGGGTAAAAGGTGGGGGATGATGATGATGATGATGATGATGATGATGACGATGATGACGATGACGACGATGACGACGATGGGGACAATGATGACGATGATGACGATGATGATGAGAATGATGAGGATGATAAGGATGATGAGGATGAGGAGGATGAGGAGGAACAGGAGGATGAGGATGAGGAGGATGAGGAGGATGAGGAGGATGATGATGATGATGATGAGGATGATGAGGAGGATGAGGAGGATGATGATGATGAGGATGACAATGATGATAGTGATGATAGTGATGATACCGATGTACTGATGATACTGATGATACTGATAGCAATGATGATACTGATGATTACCAGAACATGTATCAACATGTATCGTTTACAAAATAGAGTCACATGATGATGAACAGTTCTTTCTAACTAACTACAGTATAATAAATGGGGAACATGATGGAATATGATGATATATGATAAAGAAAAATGGAGTCCACAAATGGCCATTCGACCAGGAATAAGTGGAGATCTAGCGTTTTTTTTGGTCTTTCCTGGGTCATTCGGCCAGTCCAAAATTGGGGTGGATCGACCATGAGGACCATCAACGAAGCAAACTAATGTAACTCTTCTGTGATCCGAACATTGTGGGCGTTCATCTCTGAGACTCGATGATCCGAATCTACTATTCAAAAGGTCACAAAAGGTGGTGGTGATACTGATGATTCCAACCAAAAATATCCAAACATGGCATTTCCCCAAGTAACATATGGAGACAGGGATCTTGGGGTGTTGAAGGGTATCATCATCCAACGGCTAAGGCAGCATGCATCACTTACAGTAATTATATCAATTCATCATCTAAAAGCCATGTAAACAAAATCAAACCGATACAAGTACGGCTCAGATCTGTGCCTTTTCAACATTCATCAAGCACCAATTTTCCAGTCAGTAATGACCTCGCTAAGGTTTAACATGGTTTAAGTAGATAGGTTTCTATGAGCTCACCACTGGAGGTAGCCCAGTCCATCTGCGGTCAAATTTCAGTGAACTTTCTCATCCAAAAAAAAGTCATAGCTGCACGTTGGGAGTCTCATTTTCGTTGTTTAGTTATGATTTCTCAGTCGCTTTCTTCACTTTCAAATCAGCCCCAAGGCCCAAATCTGTCCCATTTATGCTGTGATTTCGCCATTCGCACATGTGGTGGTTTCCATAAATGGGGCTACCCCAAGGAGCTATGGATGGTTTATTTCAGGTAACCACCATGACTTTGGGAAAGCTCCATGTGTATCCATGTGTCACGTTACTCAAAATCGCCAAGCATCTCCACATAGTGGTAGTACTTCTCCATCTAACCTGAGCTTCTTGCTTCATCAACATCGGAGAAGTACCCTCTGATGGTGACTCTTACCGCGACCTGGCGACCGTATCTCAACATCAGCAAATTTTAATATCACCATTAATATCAGTATTTAAACTTAAATAATCATATAATCATTATATAATAAATCACTGGTTGGTGGTTTCAATCCCTCTGAAAAATATTAGTCAGTTGGGATGATTCTTCCCAATATATATGGAAAAATGAGAAATGTTCCAAACCACCAACCAGATCATAGTAAATCATCTACAAGTTGGAGCATTTTCCAGAGTTGCAGCTTTGGGGATCCAATCCATGCCCTGTTGAGTTGATGAAGCAAGTCCAACCAACCCCTACCCCCCCCAAAAAAAAAAACTAAAAAATGGAACCCCCGGTTTTGTATTGGATCCTCATAATCTTGCTGATAGGCAGGACATTCAGAGAGTGAGGGTCAGGAATATGTTTATGCATTTCATCCATTTATTTGTCTCCACGGTTTGTTTATTCCCATGTCTGCGGGTTACAAACCCCAGTGTTCAAAACCCTCTGTCCAGTATACTGCTTGGCCTGGTTCAGAGGAATTCCCACTGGGAGACAATCAGATCAATCTAGTGGGTAGTAACCGGCTAGTACAGTACTCCCTACAATATCCAATCAACCAGGAAATTGGTGCTTCTCCAAGTCACCACATCAGGGCCATGGGCACCACAGCTACCGGAGCTCCACTCGCCATCAGATCGGAGAAGCGACAAAAAATCGAAACATCTGCCGTGAGATCCATTCTTTTGATGGGCAAATCATGTCAAATCTCCATTTTGGCTGGTTGAACTTGTTAAAGCTCCATTTTGAGGGTAAATCCCTATTGTTTAAAGAACTCTTCTTTGTTCTTGGTATAATTAAAGGGATGAGTTACGGGAAAATTGTTCGAAGTTTAACAGCAACAGCAAACAGTAATGTTCCCATAAACGCTTCTCTTCGTTGCATGGATGGCATGGATCTTTGGGAAACCACGTGGATCTGAAATGACATTAATATTTAGGGAACCAAAATTCAGTGTCGATCTACAATCAATATCATTCTGAAACTCGTTTATCCTTTTAATCCGACTGTCGATGAAGGCAGCTAAGTCATCACACCATCCAACACGATTGTCAGTTCCAAGATCGAGATGCCTGAGATGTGTCTCATAGAATTACTCCATGTAGTCTTGCAAAACAGTCTGCCGTGGTGCTGTTTTTGCCGTTCTTTTTGGAGGGTGGCATTGGAAGGACACCAGGCAACGCCTATACCCAAAGGACCTAGTTTTGTTTTCTAAGTTCCAGTGCCATGGCTATCACGCTTCCGTAGGCAAGAGGTGGGTTACCCGGTGAGTGGGAGGACGGAGGACCTCCCAGAGAATATGGCCAAGTTTATTGACGATTTCCGATTCCATGAGAAAAAATATGATGAGCCATGAGACTTTTAGATCTTTTAGGGTAATTACCCCCTTTTCGAGCAAACCTGGGTCTCGCGTAGAGTCAGCTTCTTGCATGATGTTCAAAGTGGGAAAGGGCAAGCACCAAGCAGTCATTGTGGTAATTTAATTCTCAATGGGCAAACACTAAATAGTTCAGTTAATTAAGGATCTCTCCCAAACCACAAAATTTTCTCCCGAAAAAGAGCGATTGTGTAGATTTTTGCTCATTTGATCGAGATAATAGTAGAATTCAATAGAACACTTGTACCCCTGAGAAAACGTGTGGAAACCAAAGTCTGAACCCAGAAATAGAAACCTGGCCTTTTGCACATGACCTAAAGGGCACTTTTTCGAATGGCTGCATCGTTTCCTTGTGAAACTTTGGGGATTGCCAGTTGCATCCGTGTATGCGAGCGTAGAATATCCTATCAGATTCCAGGCTTTCCTCTGCTATGTTTGATTCAGGCATTCCACTACGCAAGTATTGGAATGTCAATGCCACTAGCAGCACTTTTCATCCTAGAACAAGACCATAGATGTATGCCCAAGCGCAAGCAACCACAATTTACAGCTGATCAAAGACCCAATCCCCAGTTGTTCATTCGTTCAGTCTGGTTTCAATTTGCCTGAGCACAGAATTTGAACAGATTCTCAGTCGTTCTCTGTAGCTGCAAAACCCTGTGTCATCCCCCAATAGCTGACAGTTGGCCCTGAAAAACGGACAGCATAACAACTTTCGGAAGAAATCTGGGGCCTCCGAGGGCATACACGGCTTCGGCTCACGACTCGTACTAGGCGCGTTTCGCTCAAGAAATGACACACTTCTAATCAGGCAGACCTACATGAAATTCATCAACATTGCATACACATGTTCACCTTCCCCATTTTTGACATCTTTTGACGATAAGGGGGGAATTGGACTCCGGCTTTTTGAACTCAGCGAGTCCTACAAAAATCGGCATCTGAGATCTTCAAAGTAAGTCTTATCCATTTGCAGGCTTATTGTGTATATACATATATATATATACATATATATATATAACTATATATATATATACAACATATATACAAATGTATATATATATATATACACATAATATATATATATACATATTATATATATACACATAATAAATATATAAACATAATATATATATATACATAATATATATATATATATACAATATATATATATACATACATACATAATATATATATATATACACATATAACTATATGTGTATCCTATGTCTATGTTCAATCATTACTTATGATGACTTCCAACCTGTGTTGTTGTATTCCTTGGATTGAAGGTGACAACTGTCTCCTGACAAGCGAGGAGAACCTTCCTTAGCTACCACATGTATCGACCAATGGTGAGCAGTAGGTATGGTCAGTGCCGGAATTATAGAACGGAAGTTGAGGAGGACGAAGGTACGGTTATTTACCGTACCCTGTTGTTCTATAATTCTGTTTTCCTCGGAAGGTATGACAAAAAAATGTATCTGATCTTCCTCCTAATTTTTTTCGTCGTTCTATAATTCTTGTCGGAGCGCTGTTGTTCTATAATTCTGTTTTCCCCCATTTTTCTCACATTTCCCATTTTCGTTCTATAATTAATTTTCCCCGGGCCCCGTTCTATAATTAATTTTTCCGTCGAACGGAAAAAATAATTATAGAACGGAAAAATTAATTATAGAACGGAAAAATTAATTATAGAACGGAAAAATTAATTATACTGTAGGTGCCGGAATTATAGAACGGAAGTTGAGGAGTACGAAGGTACGGTTATTTACCGTACCCTGTTGTTCTATAATTCTGTTTTCCTCGGAAGGTGTGAAAAAAAAACGTATCTGAATTTACTCCTAACTTTTTTCGTAGTTCTTGTCGGAGCGCTGCTGTTCTATAATTCTGTTTTCCCCCATTTTTCCCACATTTCCCATTTTCGTTCTATAATTAATGTTTCCCGGGCCCCGTTCTATAATTAATTTTTCCGTCGAACGGAAAAATTAATTATAGAACGGAAAAATTAATTGTAGAATTATAGAACCTCTTCCGGGGTCCCAGAAATCCTATAAAATCACCATGAAATCTAAGAAAATCACCGTGAAATCCCATAAAATTACCATGAAATCTTATAAAATCACCATGAAATCTAAGAAAATCACCTGGTAAATGTGGGAAAAATGGGGGAAAACAGAATTATAGAACGGAAGTTGAGGAGTACGAAGGTACGGTTATTTACCGTACCCTGTTGTTCTATAATTCTGTTTTCCTCGGAAGGTAGAAAAAAAACGTATCTGAATTTACTCCTAACTTTTTTCGTCGTTCTATAATTCTTGTCGGAGCGCTGTTGTTCTATAATTCTGTTTTCCCCCATTTTTCCCACATTTCCCATTATCCTCATGTTATCCTCATTTTATCCTCGTTATCTCATCAAATCCTCATTTTATCATCATTTTATCTTCATTTCCTTATCAAATCCTGATTAAATCCTCATTAAATCTTCATTGTATCCTCATTTCCTCATCAAATCCCCATTAAATCCTCATTTTATCCTCATTTTATCCGCGTTTTATTATCATTTCCTCATCAAATCCTCATTTTATCTTCATTTTATCCTCATTTTATCCTCGTTTCCTCATCAAATCGTCATTTTATCTGCATTTTATCTTCATTTTCTCATCAAATCCTCATTAAATCCTCATTAAATCTTCATTTTCTAGATTGTATATGTACAAATATGCAGTAAATATCATGTCAGTGCCAGAAATTATAGAACGGAGCCAGGAGGACAAAAGTACGGTAAAATACCGTACCTTTGTCCTCCTCCCCGTTCTATAATTAAATTTCCCGACTCCGCTCCGAATCGGAACCCGGAGGAGGACAAAGGTACGGTATTTTACCGTACTTTTGTCCTCCTGGCTCCGTTCTATAATTCTGGCACTGACTGTAAATGGTAAATGCACCAAAGTATATATATATATATAATTAATATAATAATCACATGGATAATGTTAAAACATATACATATATTACATAAAGATACATAATGGTAATGATATAACTTAACTTATGACTAATATATATATATTAATATACATATATATATATATATTAATATATATATATTAATATACATATATATTAATATACATATATATATATAGTAATATACATATATATAACAATACATATATTTATATACAACATAGACACATGTATTACAATGTATTGTTTTCCTGTCACATATGTCACACATTGTAATCCCATGATCTCATATGATACATATGATGTTGCCAACTTGCCCAGCTCGCCGGAGCCCGGCACATTGTGAGACGCTGTGACCCGCCCTTGAGGCGAAGTACACTCACCTGCGGCAGCAGTTTAGCAGATGCACTCACCAGATCTCACCAGAGCAACCCTCTGGTAATGACTAACAGTTAGCTATTGAACATGGCCCATAGAAATAGTTGATTTACCTTTTTTGAAGATGGTGATTTTCCAGTTCGCAAACTGTTAGTTTACCAGAGGGTAACCACCCCAGATGAATCAAATCAAAGAGTTTACACATCCGGGACATTGCAGGAAGTATAGGATGAAGAAGGAATAAGAGAGGCCAATGCTTCGATCTCTGAAATTCATGCGAGTGAACAATATTCCACAATGGTCAACACTTCAGCATGATTTGCGGAAAACTTGGGGGCTATACTATACCGAGTCATGCCCCATCATGCCAAGTAGGACATGAAACTGTCTAGGCGTTGGTCAGTTCTTGGATGTTAACAAGAACTGAACACTCAAAACCAATCAATCAGCAGCTTCCTATAGCTTCCTGAATATGGAGAAATGTGCACCATTTCAGCATTTCCTTTTTGAACACCAGCCACGCAGGTTGCCTTGGGGGAATGTCTGCCCCTAGTTACACGATCCAAAAAAGAGCATGAAATTGAGTTCTGAACCCAACCTCCAACGCCATTTCCAAGTGTCAAACCTCAGAAACCCATTTTCATCTATGTTCATACATGTTCCAGGCTCAGTCTTGGTGTAAAGTTTTGTGGGTGTATATCAATATATGAGTTTGTCAAAACCAGCATTTTCGATCATTTTCGCTATTCTTCAATTGCCAGAAACTGGGGCCTACCCCAAATTTCGGACAAACCCATATATTATTATGACGCAGGTTGGAAAATCATCACCATGCAATCTTGGATTTGCTTAACAGGTTCCCAAAAAAAATCCTAGTGGACTCCCCAAATGGTGGATTGATCATTGG